AGAAGTAAAAAATAATACATATATTTATCCATTTGGCAAAAAAAATTATGAAAAGATAAACAAGAACTAATGAGTTTGGTTATCATCACGAAATAGAAGAAAATGGGGTGCAAAGGACAAGAAAATGGAATTGGTGTAAAAGCGTGCAGGAGGAAGACTCACATTTCTCTAAGAATATGTTTTTGTACAAACACACACGTGCATTTTTACTTTTAGAACTATGTTACGTTTACATATTCAATATTAAATAATAAACTAAACTGAACAGATAAGATGGGGGAGAAAAGCATAAAATGCAATACAAACAAAAACAAATGAGTTTGTGTTTCCAATGAATAACCACCACCCAGAAGAGAAAAAAAAATAACTCTTTAACGGTGCTGGGAATACATAAATTCAAGCTAAACATAAAAAGAATTCTAATTAGTAGAAGTTTTTTTCCCCATAGTGGTAAGGGTACACTACTTGGGATTAAACAAATAAGTAAATATACTACAGATAACAGCACTTAGATTTCCCACTGTCAGAGAAGGAAGCTACAAATACAGGAAAGAGAAAGGCTAGAATGAGATCTGTAGTGTTTAAGTGAAATCAGAGGCATCAGTATGAGGTCAAGGTTTTAAGGTATATATAGAAAAAACAGAAATATGTGTATATGTAAAATTGTGTACTTTTTTTTTTTCTAATAATGTCCGCTGAGAAGTCATAGAAACAATGAAATCCTAGTAGTAATGAGCATACCAAGCACCCAGATCTTGGTTTCTAAATACCATTCTCCATTGAAATGAATCAGGACTCCTTGGAGAAATGGCTGCTTCTAGGGTTTGGAAAGTACAGGATAAGCCTGGAACATCCAGTTGTGTCAGAAAGTGAAGAAGTGCTCAACATCTGGTGCAATATGGCAATACGCCAAAAGGACCCAGGAGCCAAGATGGAGGGGCTGCCACTGTACAAATCTGGAACAGAGCATCAAAATAAATAATGATAGTAATAAATTAGTAACACAGTAAGAATTCATGAATTTCTACTCCTAAGAAAATAAGTGAATAAAAGAGGAGAAGGGATTTTTTTTTTTTACAGTAGAAAAGCCAACAATTAAATTTAGAAGAAATGATGGAATTTAAAAAATCAACATGCTCAATCAAAAGAATACTGTTTTAGGCAAATATGTAGTGAGTAAGAAGTTTTATAAGAATCAAGATATTTACACAATTTGAAAATGCCTCTCTACTAGATATTTAATAATTACACAGACAAAAAGAGTAATTTCATAGTATAGAAACTTGGAAGATACCACTGTAATCAAGCAACCAAAGTTAATATCACTCATCTTGAGATAAAGCAACAAACATCAAGTGCCTCCTGATATGATGCAAAGTCAAGAACATAACATTGCTTCTGTGGTATCTCGCCAAAAATGTATAATCTGAATCTAATCATGAGGAAATATCAGACAAACCCAAATTGAGGGAAACTCTACCAAATAAATGGCCTAAACTCTTCAAAAAATATCAAGGTTATGAAAAACAAAATCTGAGAATATGTCCAACAATACAGATGACATTATAATGAGTGATGCTGGATTGGATCTTGGACCACAAAAAATCTTTTATCCCCCCCTTTTGCTATAAAGGACGTTAGTGGAGCAATTGGCTAAATTTGAGCAAGTTCTGGAGATTAGATAATACTACCATATGAATGTTAACTTCCTGACTCTGATACCTGTAATAGTAATTTAAGAAAATATCCTTGTTTTTAGGAAATAAACAATTGAGTATTTAGGACAGGATTTTTCAACTAGGGTTCTGGGTAAGAAGTCCTACAGAAAATGTATTTGGATAACTGTTTTCTCAATTCTCCCAAGAATGGTATATAGCTAGAAGTACTGTACCTGCACAGGAGAGAAATTCATTCGTTAAATAACTTGGGACTTTAGGGTTTAATTCTCTCACAGTTTGACAAGAGGCTTATGTCTACAACTTACTCTCAAATGGTTCAGAAAAAAAGGTACATGAGCATATGTGTGTGTTATTTGAATGTGTCCTCCACAGTTCATGTGTTGGAAACTTGATCCCCAATGCAGTGATGTTGGGAAGTGGAGCCTCATAGGAGGTGTTTGGGTCATGGGGCACTGCCCTCATGGATTTATGCCTTTATTGCAAGAGTAGGTTCGTTATCGTGGGAGTGGGCTCCTCAAAAAAGGATGAGTCCAGTCCCTTATTGCATTCTTTTGTTCGCTCTTGCCTTCTTTTTGCTCTTCTGCCATGGACGACACAGCAAGAAAGCCCTCAGCAGGTGTCAGCCCCTCAATCTTGGACTTCCCAGCCTCCAGAATCATAAGCCAATAAATTTCTGTTCATTATAAATTACAAAGTCTGGTATCCTGTTACAGTAACACAAAATAGACTAATACATGTGTATACACAGAGAGACAGAATCATAAAGCAAACATGGTAAAATGTTAATATTTAGGGACTATACGTAAAGGGCTTATGGGAGTTCTTTGTTACCATTTAGTAATTTTTTGTATGTATGAAATTATTTCAAAATTAAAAGGTATTTTATTTTGTTTTTTAAAAACCTGGCCACTAAACATAGGTATATTTTGATAGCTAAAACTGTAAGTTTAAGCTCTGCAATCAGATTTTGCTTCAAAATCCCACTCAGCTCCTTTGTAGCTGTGAGAATTTGGGTAAGTTACTTAACTTCCCTCAACTTCAATTCCCCCTTTGATAAAATAGGTAAGACATTACATGCCTCACAGAGTTGCTGTGAGAAGTGAGACTGTCAGTAAAGGACTAAGCTCAACGCCTGGGTCTCAGTAGATGCTCAATAAATGGTAGGTTCCACTATTTTCTTAATTCCACCTTCACATGCACAAAAATACTAACATTTATTGAACCTATCCTCTGTGCTTGATTCTTGTTCAAAATTCACTTAAAATAACTAAATAATTCAGCCAGTTAATGATTAATATGAAGATCAAGCAAAAAATATATGGAGCAATATTAAAAGGAAAAGGAAGAATTCCAGCTCAGAATCACAACTAAGATATGCAGGCAAACAGACAAACAGCTAGTATAAGATGGAGGGTTTGTGGGAGTTTTGTCTTTCAAAATGTATATTACCATTAAGCTCAATAGGAGAGTAGAATGGAAATAAAGGACCCTGAGCTTTGTCATAGCCTGGTAAATCAATCAGATTATTCCCTGAAGTGATCAGTGCAAGGTATCATATTTGCCCTAACCAGCCAATAAAGCATGGAGCACCAAAAAGAAAAAATAAGGAAATAATTTTCCCATTTATATCTAAGTCTTTTAGACGTCAGTACCTAGAAAATAAAAAATAGTATGGCTGGGCCGGGCGCGGTGGCTCACGCCTGTAATCCTAGCTCTCTGAGAGGCCGAGGCGGGCGGATTGTTTGAGCTCAGGAGTTCGAAACCAGCCTGAGCAAGAGCGAGACCCCGTCTCTACTAAAAATAGAAAGAAATTAATCGGACAACTAAAAATATATAGGAAAAAAAAAAAAAAACTAGCCGGGCATGGTGGCGCATGCCTGTAGTCCCAGCTACTCGGGAGGCTGAGGCAGGAGGATCGCTTGAGCCCAGGAGTTTGAGGTTGCTGTGAGCTAAGATGACGCCACAGCACTCTAGCCCAGGCAACACAGTGAGACTCTGTCTCAAAAAAAAAATAGTATGGCTGTCAAACCTCAAAGTACACCATGACACTTTCCTAGTTTAAAATACTGTTTTCTATCACACTCAGAATAAAAGCTGAAGTTTTTACTGCTCTACATAATGTGGCACCTCTGCCTATCTTCAGCCTGACAGGCCATCGCAGAGCTTTTGCACTTGTACCTTCTGTCCAAAATATTCTTCCCCCATACATCTTGCTCCTTTGATTCAAGTTCTGCTTGAAAATGACTTCCTCAAAAAGAAGCACACCCTGGCCTTATTTAAAATAGCCCACGTCCCCTTACCCCAATTTATTTCTCTCCATGGCAGTTATCATCATCCAACTTTTTGGTATATATTTTATATATGTTCATTTGTTTGCCTTTTGAATATAACTTCAATTAGGGTTGAGACTTAGTCTTTTGTTAACTACAATATCCCTAGCATCTAGACTACTTTTGTTGAATGAATGACAAGAATGAACAAACAAACACCAGAACCAAAAGGCCATCATCATCCTTGGAGCCCAAGTAACAATACAACAGGCAAGGCCAGTGGCCCTGGCTGGTCCATCTGGCAAACCCAAATACATCTTTCAAGTCTTAGCTACAGGGTACCTTTCTCTAGAATGCTTTCCTTATCCCATCCAACGAAAAGACTGGTACTCTTTTCCATGCCTAGGATCAGAGTACAGGGAATAAGCAGGCAGGCAACAAAAGTCCAAGCAGACATGTTAAGTCACAGAACTTGAGAGCTCCAGGTTATCTTCACAGTTAAAAGATGTACGGGGCAATGAGACAAAGCTAGTAGAGTGTTATCTAAAAAATAGATAATGCTTACTGTATAGGCCTTAGGCTTGGGATTGATTACGTCATTTAGTTTTCATTGATTACATGAATTATATCATTTACTCCTTCGAAGAACTCTATAAAATAGGTATTAATACCAATGTCTGCACCTTACAGATAGAAAAACTGATATTTAGGACAGTTAGATAATCACCCCAGAACTCACAACTAGTAAGTAGCAGAACCACAATTTAAATATCCATCTTCTGACTCCAGAACCTGCCTAAGCATTGGGCACACTGCCTTTTTTGTGCTGCAAATCAATCAAGAAGCAATTACTGCAAATCTATTGTGAATATGCATGCATGTTGGAAAGAAGTACAAAATACACTTAAATTGTTAGGTTAGGCCCCAGTTTATCACTCTGCTATCTTAGGAGCTAAGAAAGGGCCAGTTTCTTTTTCCATGTATCTTCTCCCATTCCTTTCTGCCCTCCACTCTCCATCCTCACATTTATGTAGAAACATATACCACTTACCATAACAAGAAAGACTCAAGACTGCCTTCCTTTTGGCTCCAAAAGGTGTCTAGTCGAGAACTATTCACAATATTCAATTCTTCCCTTTCCTAGCAGAAAAATAAATAATGTAGAAGATAATTTTCTAGAGCTGGCCATCTCAATATTGGTCCCACTTCCTCTCCAGTCTAGACAGCATCCTTTAACCATATCTTACCTCAACTTGCCTTTGCTTAAACTGTCTCTCCTGCAAGTAGTACCTGCCACTGGTCGCAATCAGCTTAAAATATCAAGAATCTTCCTGGATAATGACTGAGTTTAACTTCATAGCAAAACCCTAATCCCTGTTTTTCTTGTTTAATTTTTCTCCTTCTCCTAATTGTTTTTGTTTGTATTATCTCAATTTCTAACGTCAAGGACCCATTCATCTACCACTACGAACCTCAAGGTGCATGTGATAAGTGTATATAATACAAAGTTACATATGGTTCAGTTTTCTAAAAGGAAATGGTTATGAAATGATTAAACAAATCAGATTCTTCTGCATATAGAACGAACTACAACATAACCTCTGCACTGAAGATGGAAGGGAAACTCAGTTAAACATTCTTGGTCTTTTTCCCCCGATACACATGAAAGATATACATTGCTTAGAAAACTGCCTGGCAATGTTTACTATAATTATCACCAGGAACGACGGTACTAAGCTTCTCTTCTTTCAACTTTTCATTGATCGCCTTTCAGTCCTCCGCCCCCCGTCAGTGGGGCTCAGACCACACTCGGTGTAGAGGAACAGGGGCTGCTCCCACTCGACGGGAGCCGGGGAGTCTCCGGTCCCGCCGCGCCCCCGCCCCCATCCCTGGGCACCGCAGGCCGCGCCCCTCCCAGGCCCCGCGGGCCGCACTTACCCCGACAGCCGCCGGCGCCGCCCCTAGGCCTGGGAACAGCACTTCCGGTTACTTTCCGGACACTCGAATCCGGCAGTCGCAGACTCAGCGGTGGTGGACGTAAAGGCCCAGCTTCGGGAAGGGAAGGAAGGCGAACCTGGGGAACCGACGAGAGCCAGGAGCAACTCCTTTTGCGCGGCTTGGCGAGGGAAGTTGTGGCCAGGCCGCTCACTGGGCGCTGTAAGGGACAACAAGGCCGGCTACGCAAATCCTTTCAGCCGCGTTGGGAAGAAGCCGACGCAGCCCCACCCCCGCAAGTCACATGATCGCCCCTCTCCGACGACTAGGGCGCTCCACCCCCGGCCTCTGGACCAATGGGGGCCGAACCTTCGAAAAGAGGCGGGGTCCGGGGGCGCCTGCGCGCAGTGGACCCTTGACGGTTTGGGGTGGAGGGGGCTGTACAGACTCAGTGGAAGACTGGGGTTGAAGGGCGGCCTTCGCTGCTACTTTGTTTAAGAAGAAACAATGCCAGCAGTTTTGCAGTTTATATTACAGTTCCTCCAAGGCTTTTCAAAGAGAACTCAAGTCAGGAGTAGCGTGACAGAGATAGATGCCGCTGACCCTGAGAAAAGCACCTGGAAAGTCTGGAAGTGATGGAGAATTCCGAAGAAGCACAGCTTAGAAGCGCTGTCACCCACGAAGATGGGGCCAGCAAGACGGATGAAATGCTGTGAAAGGGGGGTAATGATGGCCTTGTGTGGGTGGAGAAAACAGCAACGGGAGAAAATACCGTTGGAGGTTCCCCAGTCCTTTCTGATTACGTTTCTTGGCTGGAATCAGCCAAGACTAATGATCTATGTGTGGGCTAAAATAGAACTGAGATGTCCCTCAGAGTACACGGGTGTATGTTCTCCCAGATCAATTGTTCAATGAAAAAAAGTTTTAAAAAGCCCTCAGCTATCAAAGGGGTAGAATGAGTACTAGGAATATAGAAACCTCAGCAGCATGGCCAAGGACTTGAAACTGTGAGCCTAGTGCTGGGGTTAGAGAGCATTGAGAGCATCATCAGGGTTACATGTTCAAGATTAATCGTGTTCCTACTTCCAGAATTTTTCCGCAGAGTAGCTGCAGCATATTCTAGTTTCGTGGGGGTTTTTTTAATGCAACTTTTAAATAAGGCCAAAATATTCCATCCAGGGTGGTCTTAATATTTAAAATAACTTTTAATAACTTCTTTCGAGTGTATGGTATGTACAAAACACTGTTCTAATCACTTTACATGTACTTATTCAGTTGTAACACAGATTTTATAAGATGTGTTTTAATGTCTTAGGAGGAAAGTGGTGCAGAGAGAGATTAAGTAACTTGCCCAAGATTACATATTTAGTAACTGGTGAAGCTAAAATATGAACAGTCTGATATCAGAGCCTATGCTTGCAACCACTATACTTATGGCTACCTCAATAGTGGTGAGCGTATTGTGGAAAAGTATTGGAATAAAAAGCAAACTGGATTCTGATCTCTGTACTGCATATAAAAAAGGTCTGAATAAGTGTTAAATTGAACTCTTCAGGCTTTTCTTTCAAGAGACACTGGCCCAAGCAACGTCTCTTTTTATTCACTTAAACATTTATTGAGCACCTCCAATTCTTCTGACACTATGCTGGATATTAGGAATTTAAAGGCAGGTAAGACTCAGTACCATTCTTTTAATGATTCTCAGTCTAGTATGGAGAGTACAGGTGTCATAAGGTGAGGTAGAGGTAGAAATTGCATAAAGTAATCTGGGAGCATAGAGATGATGCACTTAATTAAGACGTTGTTTGAGAAAGGGTTAGAAAAGACTGTAGAAGATGAGGCATGAAGTGAGGCTTGAAGGAATAGAGTTGGCTGAATACAAGACCAGAATGGAAGACAGGAGAGAAGTCACAGAGATATATATGTGATTTCAATTAGTGTACTTTATCTTGTAAGAAATGGGAAGCTGTTCCAGGAATTGTAAGCATGGAAATAGTACAATTATTCCCAAATTTAAAATATTTAGAAAGACTATTTTATTTTAATTTTAAATATGGAAGCAAGGATAAAGAATAAGAAGGAGCAGCTAGCAAATTATGAGGAAAACAAAAACAGATCATGTCATTCAAGGTAGGAGAGTTTCAATTAAGAGGTTGTTGTCAGCAGTGCCACTGTTGTGAAGCAGTGCCCTGGCTTCTGAGTCTGTGCTTGTTACCAGTATCCTATACTGACTCTATGAAGAGTATCTGTGAAATTTAGGAATCAAGAAGTTGTTTTCATCTTTAGTGGGGGCAGCTTCTATGGAATGTGGGGGAAAGAGAAAAGGGGAACACAAGCAGTATTTTGTTCTTTACGGAGGCTTGGCTATGAAGATGAGCAAAGAAAATCTATCTCTACCATAGGATATGGGTTGTATACAGGTAAAAGGGCCTAGGGCTTCAGGGTAGAAGGAATTTGGGGAAAAGCATAAAGGGAAAATGTCAATAGAGAAAGAGGATGAAGATTCAGAAAAGGGGCATTTAATATGGAGAGGCCCCTCAGGAGATAGGAGAAACTTGGGTCTGCAGTAGTGGAGAGGAATTAGCCTTGAACAGGAGAATGAATCTGAGATCAGAGGGAGGGAAATGGATCTGTATTGCTTTGGTCTTGTTCAGAAATCTTTTTTGTACAAATTTGGAGGAAGGAACCTACAGGTGTCATATTCATCAGGTTTCCAATTTGTTCTATTAGTCATTCAACAGAACCTGATTCAGAGGAATTACATTCTCATAAAACTGTGCTCTGATTTGATCCAAAGACAATAACCAATAGTATATTTTAAAAAATAAATCACTGTGTTAATGGTTCAACAATTCCAATAGGGTAGCATTGTTGTTCTTCACTTCCTGATTTCCCAGGGCATCTCAGATTTTCTCACTGAAGTACACCCAAATAAAAGGAGAATGAACAAGTATTGAATTAATTTGGTGTAATATTAATTTGGTGATCTCATTGTGTCTTTAAAATTCATGCAGTTTGCATTCTGTCTTATAATCTAGTTGGGCAATGGAAATGGAAAATAAAAAAAGTTGGTTCCTGTCCTTTAGGAATCATAATTGAAAATGAAATAGATATATGCCTAGTTCAGAGGTGGCAAATCTATGGGTAAAATTACTAATCTCCTCCCCATATCCCTGGCCAATACCTATCAGTAGTGATTTTCTTTTCCACTCAACAGAAACTTAGGCTCAGGTTCCTTTTCAATACAATATCTGCTGTCAGTCAATCGGAATGGGCTCTGATTTGCTATCCCTGTGCATAAGAGAGATGACTAGAGAAGAGATCTATGCAAAGTATAGTAAGCACTTTGAAAGAATTGGGTTCTTCTGTCTGGAGGTTAGGGGATCAGAGGAGACTTTACAAAAAGAGATAGGCATTTCATGGCTGTTAGGATAGCTTTGTGGGGGTCTGGGATGCAGGAGGGAGAATAGGGAGGGGACACATAAAATGGTTGTGTTGTCAAGTAAGTGTAGGAAATATTGGATAAAATCAAGTTAAATGGTCTATTTTTATTTTCTACAGGACTCTTGTAGCTATCACCGCTCCCCCCAACATAATACACATATTCATATTTTTCCATAGGAATAGAACACCAAATATTTTGGAAATTATGTGGAAACAGAATAAAAATTAACTCTCTTGTAGCTAGGGAGGATGATGAGACAGTGATATCCACTGAATAAGAGGGATCAGAGAGGTTAGAAAACCTGGAGAGCATTACCTTCTTGGCTGTAAAGGAAGAAAAGAAAAAGGAAAAAAAAAAAAAAGAAAACCTGGAGAGCATCAGCTTTAAAAAGTAGTGAGAAATGAAGTTGGTAGTATGGAGGGCCCAGTAAGTAGAGAAGGAGTAGACAGAATGGAGAGGGCCAAACCTCCTTTGGGAACTGGAGATTTCCATGTCTGAAGTCTCTTTTCAAAAGAGCTCAAGTGGAGGGAACTAGCTCAAATCTGGTGGGGAGAAATAGCAGAGGGATATTGCTAAGTATATGTTGTCCTATCCCATTAATGGCTCAGTTTCTTCCTCAGCAGAACATGCCTCTATCCCAAGGAGAACTCAAGGATCTAGAGCAAATTTCTGTCTTGGCCTTTGATATAGTTTGGATTTTTGTCCTCTCTGAATCTCATGTAGAAATTTGATCCCCAGTGTTGGAACTGGGCCCAGTGGGAGGTGTTTGGTTACAAAGAGGAAGATCCCTCATGAATGGCTTGGTGCAGTCCTTCCTGTAATGAGTGAGTTCTCACTCTATTAGTTCCCACAAGAACTGATTGTTAAAAAGAGCCTGATACCTCCTCTTTCTTCTCTCTCTCTCTCTCTCTCTCCCCCTACACACACACTCCTCCTCTCTCCCTCCCTTCCCCCACTCTCACCCCTCTTTTTCCTCTCTCCCCACTCTCTCTCTCCATCATATGATCTCTACATACCAGCTACCCTTCCATCATGAGTGGAAGCTTCCTGAGGCCCTCACCAGAAGCAGATACTGGTGCCATGCTTCTTGTACAGCAGGTGGAACCATAAGCCAAATAAACTTCTTTATAAATCACCCAGCCTCGTGTATTCCTTTATAGCAACACTAAATGGACTATTTCAGCCTCCTGCTGAAATAGACATATCTCACCTTACTGGGTACAAATCAGATTCCTAGACAAGCTGACATTTAGCAGTATCTGGGACATTTGTTCTGGAAATAATCTTTGGCTTTCTCCTGGTGCAAAGAGTAAGCAGGACCCTGTGGAAGCTAAAGAGAATAATTATTTTGTTACCGGCTAGGTCTCTTGTTAGGTGGTTGTTACCAACCCAAGCCTTATAATGTGGTGGTTGGAATACTCTAAGAAATGCTGGCCTCTGTGTAGACTTATGTGCTAGCAGTCAAAGAGGCTGGTGTGTGCAGAGAATACATGGTGAGAGAGGAGGTGGGCTGAGGAAGTGCCAGGCTTTTTTTTAACAACCAGCTTTTGAGGGAACTAATAGAGTGAGAATTCATTCACCATCCTCCTCCCCAAGGAGGGTATTAATCTATTCATGAGGGATCTGCCCCCATGATCTAAACACCTTCAACTAGGTCCCACCTCTGACATTGGGGATCAAATTTCAACGTAGGATTTAGAAGGGACAACTATTCAAACCACAGCAGTGCATAACATAAAGAAGCCATTTGACATTTCCAATTTTTTGGCATGGGTATAAATGATTTAATTTCTATTTAGAAATGGCAAATAAAATAAAAAGTATTCTATGAATAAGCCATGAATTGCATG